CTCCGGGGAAGGCGTGTCCCGCGCCACGCCAACCAGTGGGCTTTGCACACTGCACACCAGGGCTGATGTCATGGCGCGGAGCCCGGGAGCACTGCCCCGCAATCCCCCGCCCCGCTGCCCCGGGACCCGGGACCGGCCGACCGGCCGGCACGGGCGGGGGCAGGAGACGCCGACTCCCGGGGTGCCCCTCACTCGCCCGCGCTCTCGTCCCGCCGTGCGCCGTCACCGCAGAAAGGTCTTGCATACCAGGGGGCCTTTAAGGGTTTTCCTGTCAGACAGGTGGGGAAGTGGAGTGGTGACCCGAGAGATCAGACTCCTGATAAACGTGTGCCCCTGGGTGGGGGAGGGTATCGAATTTGCACATCCTGGTGCGGGGTGTAAGGGGCATGTCTTGGGCTCCAGAGTAAGGCAGGACCTTACAGGGTAGGTCTGATCCCGCCGGTCCACTCACTAGTTGGGCCCTTGGCCTAGATACTTAGCCCCTCTGGGCTTCAGGTTCACCTGTGAAAGGCACATAATCCACAGGACGTGTGGGGGTTGAGATGAGACGGCATAGGACCGACAGCCCAGCAAGCCCAGCCTGAGACAGGCACTCTGTAAATGTAACTCCCTCCTTCAAGCTCTTGTCCCCTCAGTTTCCCCAATCTTCTCTGCTGCCCAAAGGAGAACGCCCACCTCACCCCCAAAGCAGCAGTTCTGAAAAGTGGGTGTCTCAACGGAGGCTTCTTCCTGGGTCTCCAGTCTTCAGTATGACAGAAATAAGCTCAAACCACTCATCGCTGCCCCCGGGGGGGGTTACCAGGGACCTGCCACCTCCCTCTCCCGGTCCCGAGTCCTACTGCAGTGCCCCGTGCAAGCATTTCAGGGTGCAGAGAAATTCACTCTCTGAAGAGCTGCTGCTTGGGCCAGAGTTGAGCCCCCTTCCCACCCTTTCCTGGATGGGAACAGCCCAGAAACTCAATGCTTTAGTTTAGACGGAAGGGCTTTAAAGAAAGGTATCACTCCCTCCTCCCTTCATCCTCCAGTCCTGTCCTGCTCCCTTTGTTTGGGACTCGAGAATTTGGATTTGAAGGAAAATGAATCTGCAAGAGAGACTTGTGCTCCCAGGAATAGGAGGAACAAAGAAGGAGTGAGCGCCTCGGGGAAACAAATTACTGTATTTTAGTTTGCAGTTTTTCAAACTAACTTGTTTGCTTTATTTCTAAGACCGAAGGGAATCAAGAGCTGGTGCTATGTCTTGTTCTCTGGGGTTGAATTATTTTCTGAGTGCAGACTGTGATGGGAAATAAACCACACTCCGATCTTGGGCATACACTTCAGTGTGATTATATGTGTTGTGTGGGTGTGTCTGTGTAACTTTCTACTGCTTTCTAGAGCATTCTCAGAAGGAAGTGCTGCAGCCTCCTTCCGCCCATAGCAATTAATTGTGGGGGAGGCCCTGGAGGGTTTGCTGGCAGCTGGTCACCCCTTACTCCAGGTCACCCTTAGATGTAGCTGCCGCATCTTCCTCCTGGGTCAGGTGTCAATGACTCAGGCCCCCATAGGCTTCATTTAAAGCCCCAGTTTGCTAGATTAACTTTCAACCAGGAATAAACTAAACATCTTCTAAACCAGAAATGAAGGATTTATCTGGGTTTTTCTTGCTTCCTACCACAAGAAACATCTTTCCTTTTGCCAGACCCATTACACAAACACGACCCTCCAACATTGAAATGTCTATAAACACCCAACCAGTGTTTCTTGCAGTTTGGGCCTTCCTCATCTGACCTAGTCAAGGTGTAGAAGGAGAAACTAGAAGAACTCCTGGTCATTCCTGTGCAGAGCAAGCAAGAAACAGGTGTCAGAGACTGTGAGCTTGCTGCCCAAAAATAGCAATCCCCAGGGTTTTTTCCTCTCCCCTCGGTTCTCTGGATCCTGGAGAGATGAACCTTGGAGTTCTGCCCAAGATTTTACAAAAGGGCCAACTCCTGTATTTCCTTCTTTGGTCTGGCTTTGTCCTCTCTGGAGTCATTGGGCTATGGATGGATATTCCTGTGAGGACAGGCCAACCTGTGCTGGGCAATGTCCTTAGGAAAGTCCAAGAAAAGGAGAGCAACAGCTGCAGTCACATGTGGATTTCTCCCAGAGGTACCTCAAGCATCTTGTAAGTAGAGCAGCTGGACAACGTGTCATGCTAACAAGATGCTTTTGATAGTAAGCAGCACAGTGATGGTACTCACAGCTACACCAAGGTAACAGGACTATTATGCAATCCAGGATGATGATCATCCTGCTTGCCCACTCAGAGACTATCAGTGCACATGTCTTAGGAGCTGTCCAGGCAGACCTAGAGATAAAAGAAGCCAAGTGGGACTTGCCTTGCCTGTCTACTGGTTTTCCAAACCCTCATACCTTTTGGTTATATTGCTCTCCCTGCATGCTGCCAACTGCTTGGGCTTTGCCTTAGATAGCCCACTTGCAGACAAAGAAGACTTGAAGGTGAGGCAGGTCTCTGGGATTAAGTTGAGTCCAAAGGAATACAGGGATTACCCACCATGCAAACAGGCACCAGCCAGATGTTGAAATTACAGAGAGGCCGGTAAACAGCACTGCTACTTGGGATAGCCTAAGACAGAGATCCTCGTTCTGACTGACTTCAATTATATGACTGTGCCTAGGTTGGCCCCACCCAGCCGGGAGCACCTACACGTGAGACAAGGCAGTCAGAGCTCATCAGCAAATACTCTCTGCTGGGGGTTCTAGAAGGAGGTTTGGTGGATTTAGGGACTTGACTGCTTCTCTGCACTCTCAACAATGCCTAAACTTTTCAGTATACTCATGTCCTTTCTGTGCACTCTACCTCCCCGTACCTTTGGGTAGGTACTAAATGTCTGCTGAGGTCATGAAGTAGGACCCCTGCCATCCAACTTCCAGCTTCGTCTGCCGCCTCTGCTGGCATCTTTTCTTCTTTTTCCGCCTTCATCAGCATTCCAATGTCACAACTTCTGTCTTCCTTCTTGCTGTTAAATCTTTCTTTCTCCCACTGATCCCAGGTAAGAGAGATCTGAGTATGAGGCTGAGGAAAAAGTAAGGAACTGTGGCTGGCTTAACTCTGCCAGTCATCCCAGAGAGCTTGGACATCCCATCTGAGCCAGAGATTTTCTCAGTTACCCATCCATCCATCCATCCAACCATCTGCTAATCAGTCTCTCCATCTACCCATTCACTCAGCAGACATTTAGTGAACCACTATTCTGTACTAGTCTATAGTTTCTAGGAATACAGGGAAGAATGTGATTTGGATCCTGACTTCCAGGAGTCTCTGATTTAATGAGTAAACCAATATCAGAACCCCAACATCTTTCAGGGAAGGAATAAAAAAGGACTGTGAGTAGACAAAGGATAAATGGTTAATTCTTCTTTCCTGGGGGAGGGCCTATGGTCAGGAAAGATGATTGAGAGTCGGCCAGGAAGCAAGGAGGAGAGGCAGGATCTTGAAACAGCACTGTTCAACCAGGGAACTGTAGGTTCATCAGCAGAGTTGACACCCGTGATGAAAGACAAGATTCCATGGGGGACCAGAAGAACATGGCAGACGTTGTGAACCATTTGAAGGGTGGTGGGGCTGTCCTGAGGGAAGCGGGAGTACTGATGGATCTTAAACAGGGAAACAACATGGATTGTTTAAAAAGCGTTCTAGGAGGCCGGGCTCGGTGGCTCAGCCTGTAATCCCGCACTTTGAGAGGCCGAGGTGAGTGGATTGCCTGAGCCCGCGGGTTCGAGACCCACGTGGGCACTTGGCGAGACCTCATCTCTACAATAAAAATCAAAAAATCAACCGGGCGTGGTAGCACGTGCCTGTAGTTCCAGCTACTTGGAAGACTG